ATGAAATATTGTCTTTCACTGGTACAGGGCTTCCCTGCTGCCAGGACACGTTTCTAACTTTTTCTAACCAAATCAGCAACAGGGAAGAGCAAAGCCTGTGAGTCCAGTCCCACCTTGGAGGCGAGGGGACGCCCAACCCCTCCACTGACCCCTACTTCCTGAACCCAACCCCTGGGCTTCAGGGACCCCAGGAACAATGATCTCTGTCTTCTCCCAACACCGACTCCAGGAGGACTCGGATTATGACACATCGTGCTGCTGGGGGAGCCCCAAAGAGCGTCCTATCCAGCTCCCAACTTTACAGACCCCAAACTGAGGCCACAGCTCCTGCCTCCACGCCCTCAGTGAGTGGACAAGGAGTCTGACACTTGCTCCCGCCCCCACGCCTAGATCCTCGGGTGGCACCGCCAAGCGCAGCAAGACAGGCAGCACGTGAGCTAAGAATAAGCGCCCGGCTCCTACCTACTGCGTGGCTCCTCCGCAGCCCACCCTGGTGACCATGCCTGGCTCTAAGTCCCCAAATGGATGACTGAGGACAGGGCTCTCCAAATCCCAGCTGCCTCCCAAGCAGTCTGTCCTCTCCCTACCTTGTCCAGGCCAGATAGTTTGAATGGGTGTTCTAAGAGCCAAGAATTGACAAGGAGTGGGCGGTGGGCGCCCAAGGTGTCTCCAGTGTCAGCCACTCAGAAAATGCTGATGGGTGTTTTCCACTTATTTTCAGAGATTCATCACATTAACACAATCCTGTGCTATCACTCTGGCCCCTGTCAATGGTCGTGTTCCTGCCTGAGTGTCAGTTCTGTGAGGTCAGGGCTCTGATCTCACTCCAGAAAGCTGGGTTGCTCTTGTTGGCTTTTCTGATGATATGAAACCACTGTACGATCATTGCAGGAAATTTGCAAAACAAAAACCGATAAAAGTCACCCCCAATTCTACCCCTCAGAGAACATACCATCGAGATTTTGGTCTATTTCCCTTCAGAGATGTAAATTTTACATGAGACCTTCAGGACAAACATACCTGGCACAGCGCCTGGTATACAGCTGGTGCTCAACACACGTAGGCTGAAGAAACATGTGAGACAAGAGCCAAAGAATGAAAGGGTTAGGATGCAAGTGGCGCTGAGACCACGCAGTAAGAACAACGCTTTGTCAGGATGGACACGGGGACCCAGACAACTCACCAGGGAGTGTCATTTTCTTTGGTATTTCATAATTAAATGTTTTTAAAAAAGTGAAGAGACCTAGGGACATATATCAAACATGCCTCTGTGAGAAACAAGGAACGTTTCCCCAAAACACCACCAGAAGCAAAATGCACCGGTGGCTCCTTAGCGGCCCTTGTGCCCGTATCAGGGCCCCTCCTCCAGCCCAGCCTTTGGCACGAGGAAGCAGCCCAGGAGGAAGCTCTGCAGCGGTGCCTGGGCACCGGGCGGCTCGGTTCAGGTCGGACCGCACAGGACAGCGTCTCGCACACAGCGTCACTCAGAGAGCAGACCGACACGCACTGAGCCCTTCCTTGTGCCAGCCCACTTCGTCTCCCGTTTAATTTTTAGCTTTTGTTTCCCTCTGAGTCTCCCCCCTCAATTTTATAGCTGAAAAGGGTTAACGGTTTAAGTAGCTTCCCAGGACATAATGCTAGTAAGTGAAGGAGGTAGGGCTCGAATTCAAGAAACCTGACTGCATAAGCCTTGCTTTGAATCCCTACACTATAATGTCTTTTGGATTGTCAATGGATAGATGGCTGGACAGACGGACGGTAGGCGGACAGACAGCTGCATGAGCGGGCAGTGGATGGATGGAGAGCAGTGGGCAGCTGCATGGATGCACACATGGTAGATACATGAGAAATGGACGGGTGGATGGCGAATGGGTGGAAGACACATTGATGGGTGATGGATGGGCAGATGTCGGATGGGTAATGGGCACGTGCCAGTCCAGGTCTTCCTCCTTGCCTTAGCCCAGCGCCTCGGCACCACGGGGACCTGCAGGGGCCACCCAAAAGGCTGCCCCGTCAGAACTACGATAACATAAGTGCCACAGACTGGCTTCCCTCTCATCTGGCCTAGGAATTATTTCCACTCAATCCATGGAAGGGCAGAGTTTTTGAGTCCACTGGGTCACTGGCCCCTCCCTGTGCTCGGAGCTCTCCGACTGTGGGTGGCACGGCTTGCAGGGAAGAGGAGAGAAGGGAGAAGGGCGTCAGGGAGAAGGAACAGAGGAAGGCCGCCCAGGACAGAGGAGGCACCGGCGCGGCTTGCTCGCAATGCCTGCTGTCGCACTGGAGACTGGCTTGGGCTTTGTTCATTCCAAACACCCCCATGGCTCTCATCGCCCTTCAATGGGAACAGAAATGTCTCCTCTCCTCCAAAGTCCTGCCCTTCCCTCAACAGAGGTCAGAGCCCCTTCTCAGTGCTCCCACACACAGTTTCCTACTCCAGCATGTCTCGCGCCGATTTGCTAGGCGGCCCCTCGGGGCTCCGCATGAGAGAGTGGAGACCTCACCCCATCAACTCCGAGGCCCCACAGCCCCAGCTCCGCACTCTGCACATGGAGAGCGCAATGAATGCGTGCGGAACTGATTCCAACGTCCCAAACCGAGGCCCCCAGACTCCACAGCCTCCCCCTCCTCTCTCGGCTATAAGGAAAGAGGGTCCAGCCACCAGGTTGCAGAATTAGCCACCTGCAGTTATTTCTTTATCCACAAGAGAGCATCGTGTCTTGAAGCTCAACACAAATTCTTTTGTAAATGCCTGGTGTACTTACAGAACACTGTATAACTCAAAAATTATAATTAAAATGTCTCAGCTCCTGTATTTATAGTAACATTTAAACTACTGTGCTTTCTCGAAGTCAGTCATTTACTTGAGAACAGCACACTTTATGGTGAACAGATCTTTGAAACAGTGCCGCGGGGATCTAGCCCAGGCACATGTAACTCAATATATGTCAACAGCTGTAAAAATATTGGTGGGAGAAGGCAGGAAGAAAGCCATGAGCCCAGATCCAGTGCCCTGTCTCTCACATCTGACGGTTTTCAGCTGCTCCCTCCTCTTCCAAATAATTGGGCCATTTTGGTGCCCGCTGTCACACAAGGCGGGCCCTCTTTGAGGCTGGATGATCAAAAAGGTTATAAATGAAAATGATTTCGATGTTGGCAGCCTGGAGAGTGACCAGGGCGTGCAGGGCGGCAGAGGGGCTGTTCTAATCTTACCAACTGCACGCCGCCGCCGCCGTCGGAGAGTGCTCCTAGGGCGCGAGCAGCTCCCCTGGGGGAGGCCACGGTAAATTCCACCTAATCCCTTCTGCATACAAATGAGCGCCTGGCAGGAGGAACAGGGGCCAGACACTGCAGCTCCTCCTCCCTGGGTTGGCTGTCTTGGCTGAACAAACAACCAGCCACAGCGGAGAGGGCTGTAGGCTGGGTGGAACAAGGAGGAGGGCATCCTGGGGGCGGGTGGCACTGGAGCAGTGCGCTGACCCTCTGACCCCATGGCCTGGCAGTGGGCACACAGGCACTTGGGTGGCAAAGGGTGGCATGATTGGAGGGCCAGGAGGCTGGCCCCAGTGACAGAACAGAATGTTCATGAACTTAAGGCAGCCAGGCAACCTCCGGGCTGGGCTGGAGGAGCTACCAGGCAGTTTGGGTGGGAACCAGCCCTGAAGGCACAGCGTTGGCCTCACCGGGATGCGGAAACTCGCCTCCACCCACCAGATGAACAACGGAGGCGGGTGTGCGGGAGTCCTGGGAAAGGGCCAGGAGGAAAGAGGCTCTGTGCCCAGCCCCCCAGCTCCAGCCTCCATGTCCACCCAGACAGGGTCGGGACCTGCCCTGCAATGAGCTGATGGGCCATGCACTAGAGGCTGCATCTGAGCAAGGACCCTGGGCCTGGGCACCGGGCGCTGCAGAGCAGGAGAGAGCCGGCCAGTCCTCAAACGGGGAAACAGCCCACAGAGGGGAGGGATGTGCATCTGGTCACAAAGAGAGCAAATGCGTAGCCAGCTACAGCATCAGCTTGCAGCGATGGTTGGGGGTGGGGTTCTAAGGCCAGTTTTGTCTGCAGTAAAGTGGAGGCAGGGACAGTTTTTGCAATCAATGCTCCAGGGAAGGCATCCCTAACCTGGGCCCACGGACGGACACGGCAGGGACCCAGACCCTGCAATAGTGGGCAAAGTTCATGGGTACACTGCACTTGGCTCTTGCAACCCTGGCATGGGTGAAGGGGTGATTTCAATGAGTTGATTAACAGATGCACAGCACTTCAACCGTGCTTGGCACGCAAGCACTCACGGAGCATTCATTGGTCAGTATATGATGTCCACTTGGTCTAGAGGGGAGTACCATGGCACAAAAGAGGTTAATTGCTCTGGGCTGGACAGGCAAAGGTCCTTGCCCCAGCCCTGGGTCACTTCCCACCTTCAAGGTGATCCAGGTTAAGAGGAGCAGGCCCAGAAGTGGTCGGAGGGGACCCTGCCCCATGTGCGGGGGACACCATGCCCTTTGCTCAGTAGTAGACCCATCAACAGAGCCAGACACACGTGCAGACAGACACATCTACAGCACTCAAAAGCTAGCATTTTGCCCAATTTTGCCCAGGGATTCGTACACGCACACACACATGCACACGCATCCCACAGCCCCATCTTCCATGAAGATCAGCAGGAATTGCATATTTGAGGACCCAATTAGGCTCAGTGTGTGTTTGACAACCTTTCAACCTACAGAAGACATTTATTTTTACAACACTTTCCAGCTGAGAAATTACTAGGTTCCTGCCCTTCCCTGAATAGTCTTGGCATCAGGAAGCACCAAAGTGTATCTGACAGTGAGGAAGGGGGACCCACTCGGCGGTGCCCAGCAGTGACATCGGGACCACTCAGTAAGTGTATCTCATAGGCAGGGACTGTCCACAGTGGGGGCAAGTCCTGAGCTCCTGAGAGCAACCAGGGCTCAGCCCTAGGTCCCCACTCCTGGCTCAGGCTGAGCCAGGGATGGCCGGGGTCAGTTGCCCTGTATGATTCTGGAAGTCTAACTGCCACTTCCTCTTTCTCATCACCCCCTGGGCCCCATACCTCCTAAGCATCACTCTGAAATGCAAGTGCATGTTTGGGGTGGGGAGTGCATTCTATCTCACAGATAGGGAAACTGAGGCCCAGAGAGGCCTACTGACTTATCTGTGGCCTTGCCACACAAAGACACAAAGCCAGGGCTCAAGCCATGGGCTATTTCTACTTCCTGCTTTCTTCCCTGCTCAGCATAAATGGCCACGCTCTGTGTCAGGTCACCTGAGAAAACTAGGTTGCAATGGAGAGGGGCTGCAGGGGCAGTGTCAGGGGACAGAGGGGAGCATGGGAAATACAAAGGGAAAAGAGAAGAAAGCCTTCCCTGGTAATGAGGTATGGTGGGCTCGAGCAGCGGCCTGGGTCAGTGGCTGGAGAGTCCCCTAATCTTTCCAGGAGGCCCCAGGGAACATCCTCCCCAGCTCAGTCTAATCCCAAAGAAACTGCTCCAGGCCTCTCCCGGCTCCAGAATGAGCGGCTGGACCCAGTCCTAGCTCAACAGCACTGACTTGTATCTGCCCAAGAGCATGCATCTTCCCCCACTGAAAAGGCTAGGACTGAACATCCTTGCCAAGGAAAAAGAGTTGATGATGACGTGTTTTCCTATGGATGGTCTACTCATGACTCCCAGCTCTGTTGACCTTTGTCAACAAGCCTCTTGTTTTGTGCATTTGAACCGTGGTGCGCTGTCATATTAGAATCACCAGGACGTCTCTGGGCAATGGCACCAAGATCTTGAATTTCATGGGCATTTCACAGGAGGGACCCTCATTCACTAACATTTTCAAACAAAAATGAGTGAAATCAAGGCATATCCCAGTTAAGCAAGCCCATGGACATCCTCCCAAGAGGGGTAGAAACAGCACCACTGCTTGCAGATTTACCAAGGGTACATTCATGATTTCAACGTTAGCCTCTCTTTGGCCTTTGGCTACCTAATGTCATCATGGTGACTTTGCCAGGGTGAAAGACACACCCAGAAAATGGCCCTGCTGTCCCAGAAGCCAGAGACCAGGGTACCAAGCAGAGCATATGCTCTGTATGGCTTTGTTTGCACCTCTGACTCTGCTATCTCACAAGCAGCAGGTTGGTGATTAACAAAATAGCAATACCGTGGAAGCCGGTGACAATGCCATGAGTGTGGCAGTGACGACAGCTGTCACCCGGAGCCAGCAAGCCTGCTTCTCCCTGCCACTGGAGCCACACGTACGCAGGAAGAGAAACTTGGCCAGTAGTTTCCATGAATCTTTCCTGCATGGATAGATTAGAGCCAGGCCTCAAGTGGCTCTCCCAGTTGACAATTTTTCTTTCAAAAAGGCAGAAGTTGCTGTGAGCCAAGTTCTCGAAGCCGAATTCCTGGACACAGTTTCCAACTATTCCAATCAGCCGGCTCTGCGGTGGGGCTGGGATTTCAAGCTTGCCACAGTATGAAGTCCAGTTTGGGCTATATTCCCTCCCTCCCACAGCGTGACGAAGGCTTCCCCGCAAAATCAAAAGGCTCACTGTCAAGTCTGCGACTGGGCGGGCTCGGCGGGCGCGCAGTGCTGGGAAGGAACACGAACGCGCGGCTCCACCGCGGGGCCTTGAGGCCGTCCCGGCCGCCCAGGGACCCATGAGAGTGGAACGCAGCTCTTTCATGTGTGCTCCAGCTGCGCAATTCCCAGACACGCCGGTGTGCAAACTCGGCGCAAAAAGAACAATGGCTGGATAAAACCAGGCGTGTCCACCGAGTCCGCCAAAGACAGGCCGGCGTTGCTGACGCAGGGCCGAGCCCAGACTGCTCCCTCCCTCTTTACCTTCTCTTTTCTTCTGTTCTTTTTTCCTTCACACATGGAATTTAATGAAAATAAAGTCACCTTATTTCTGGGGGAGAAAGCTGCTCTTTACTTGAATAAAATACACATGCAAATTCACCAAAGGAGGTTGCCATTCGGCAAAAACACAGGGATGACGCTCAGGCTCAAACTGATGATAAAATTGATGCTTATCAATTATATCTTTTCTTTCTGTCTTTCCTTAAGCCATGGATATAACATGAATGTGTCTACATGCACATATACATGTGCACATATAGAACAGTGGTGTGCTGGAGCCAGCTCATACTGACTTCTGAGAGCCAATCGTGGGCTTCTCCTCCCAACTCCAGGTTCAGTGAAATCATACCAGTAGCCTGAAATCAGCCATGGTGGAAGTATTTACACCACAGAAATTGGCAAATGCTACAAGTCAGAATTCTTTTTTTCTTCTCATATAGCAAATTGTTAAATATTTACCAACTATATCACTATACCACTACTATGTTTACTACATCACTCTGCATGCATATCCACAGATATATAGAGGAATATATAGATATATACACATATAAATGTATATATGTAGAAATTACATGCACACACTATTCACATTTATATGTTCCTCCTAATTCATAACTTCTCTTTAAATATTCTTTGAAAGCAGTACTAGAACTAGGGATCTAAGTGAATTTATATGCTTTTATCATAAAAAGGAAAAACCAACCTGCTTTTCCAAAACATAAAAGCAAAAGCTAAATTGATTCATTTTTGGCCGGGCATTAACTTTCTCCTATTACTGCAAATTCGCTGCACTTGTATTTTCTTCCAGCTCCAGAATTAAACACACTTCTAATTTCTCACTTCAGGCGCATTAAGTGCAGTATAGGGCACAAATGAATAATTTTATTGACAATAAATTTTATAATCCACGCAGCACTTGCTGAAGATGGATGAGTCTGGATGCATTCATTATTTTTCCTAATTTGAAGACCGCAGGATTGCAGCAGCCCTGCTCACTGAGCCTCTGGTAATTGCTGACTATTTTCTGCTGGGTTTGAGGCCGAAATGACAATTCAGGCACGTGTTCTGCTTTATGGGGATAAATTACAATAACCAGTTTATCAGATTATTACTTTTATTAATTTAGGAAACTATACAACATTGGTGAGCGGTTTCTGTCTCCTGCAGACAGAATTTATCCTCCTAGTTTAATGGTGCTGTGAGAAACTAGATATGTAACCTCTTGCTAAAGGTGATGTCTTTATACATTCTCCCCAAGTCACGCAAGTAAAACATCAATGGGAAGAAACCATGATGGGAGAGTGGGCTGACTGGAATTGGGAGGGGGAAAGCAAGGAAAAAGACCAAAAACTTGTTTGTTTGGTTCTGAGCTTCCTTAGAAAGGGTAATATTTAGGAACATGGGTCATGACCTCAGACGGATCTCAGTCTCAGCCAGCACACCTGTATCTCTGTGACCCTTAAACAAGTCAACTCTCTGACCCTGTTTCCTCATCTGTAAAATGGAGGTAAAAATCACACTTGTCCCGTAAGACTTGGGAGGATGAATGAGAAAATGTACATAAAGTGCTTAGTGTAGTGCCTGGCCCGGGAAGCACCTGTTGGGTGGCAGCTACTGACTGTTCTTGGGACTCTGCACTGAAGAGAAGTCAGGTGAGAGCCACCAAAAAAGTACAGACTTTAGAAACTAGATCCAAAAACGCTGTCTATGATTGACTGTAATGGCACCCTTAGGGTGAGTTTCCCACCATGGGAGGCGTTCAAGGAAAGGTAAGCATTTGTGGAAAAGACATGTGAATGGATTCTAGGGTCAGACTAGATGACTTGAGGCTTTAGGATTACTGTCAAACTATTCTAGACTAATGAAGAATTTGATCAAATTGCTAACTTTCATTAGGTACTTACAATGGGTACTTACAATACCCACGTATTTCACATGCTATTTCCTCTCACCACGTGCTCTCTGCACATGCCTGCTGCCCTTCTGCCATGAGTGGGGGCAGCCTGTGGCCCTCCCCAGATGCAAGTGCATGCTTCTTGCATAGCCTAAAGAACCGTGAGTCAAATAAACCTCTTTTCTTTATAAATTATCCAGCCCCAGGTTTTCTTTTACAGCAGCACAAAAGGACTAAGACACATGTTGTCTCATTTAATCTTCCTCACATCCCTCTGAGAGAGGTGCTATCATCACCCTCGCTTTACAGATGAAGAAAGTGGGCACAGTGAGGTTAAACAGCTGTCCAAGGTCGTGTAGTAAACAAAGGACAGAGCTGGACTCAAGCAAGGCAGTCTACCTCCCAGAGCTGCGTCCTTGGCCTCTAGACCTGTCTGCCCCTCTCCTAAACACACCCCTGGACCAGGCCAATGGCACCCGCCTGCACCCTTGCCTTGCCACCTACCTGAGCCTAGCACTGGAACACACCCAACCCACTGCCATGGCCAGCTCGGGAATCCAAGAAAACACCTGAAACCTGACTGCACATCAGCAAAGACACCACCATTCCACATCTGCTGTGGGCCTGATCAAGCCGCCAATGGGCCGAGCTCACTTCTCACCGTCTGACGGGCAGAGGGCATGCCCAGCAGCTATGCAAACCAGGCCTCTTCCAACATAAGACAGCCCCAGCTGATGCATGGTAACGGCAAACTCTTCACCCGGGGCTGTGTTTCCTCAATAACCAAGTGTGCTTCATACTACACAGCTCCCACACACGTGACCGATGGCCTGTCCAAGTGAGGACATGACCAACTGCCCAGTGGACGGATTCACTAAAGATATACCACTACAGTGGAATTATGGCCGGATGCTGTACTAGTTATATTTATAACGGTAGTTTAGTTGGATTTATTTATTTCTTGTTTCACCTGGCCCTTCCAGTGGGAAGCATTTTGCTTTATGCAAAAATAAGGACATATGCAAAAAAATTTTTACAAAGAATATATCCAGATCTCTCCCTTGGCATTCTGATTTTTCTAATGGGGGTGTTCTAGATAGGCTCTCAAACGGCATCTGTGACAAAAGTATCTCCTTGCTAGCCTTGAGTCAGACTCGGGGGCAAGAGCCAGACCCCTGCCAAGAGCCCTTCTCATCACAAGAGGAGCAGACATCCCTTAAAGACCTCAAAGCCAAAACAGAAAGGCCTCCACGCTGCAGCCAGGAAAAAACTAAGGCTGGCTGGTGGCAGTTTGCTCTGACAGCAAAATTTTCCTGGGCAAAGGTAGATCTGTGCAGCTGCCTGAATCCGAGAGCCACCCCTCCATTTTAGCCAAGGAGGCCTGGGTGTGATGTGGTGGCAATGAGCTCTTGGGACCCTCTGGAAGTGACATTGAAACACCCATCTCCCAAGGCAGCTGTCAGGAGCAAGGCATGGGGGGTGGAGGATGTAGGGGGGCGCATGCCCAGCCGTGGGGTCCCCGCCTGCAGCAGCCTCTTTGTTCCCGGGCGCTGCGAGTCAGGGTCCTGCACCAAGTTCCTGGTCTGTGTGGGACGCCCCACCAAACTCCTCCTCCTCATCTCTAAAGCCCTGGCATGCCACTAGTCCCTCTCCCCCCTCTCCTGATTAACAGCGGCCACCTCATTTAGAAAGCTAACTTTTCTCAGAGTTCCATCCTGTTCTTGAGGTTTCGGTTGGAAACTTGGCCTAGATGACAGCTGTGTGGGCCTCTCCCCAGCTCGACCCGGCAGGGATTCTAATACACTTCATTCTGGGGCTGGTTGCTGCTTTTAATCTAGCAGCACGGCGCCGCAGCTGCTGTAAGCTAGCTGAAAATTGTCTGCATACGGGGCGAGCCGTTTGTAACCCCTTTCAGTGCAGACGTGCACTTCGGCAGGGACGAGCTGCCCAGCTCACCCACATTTTGCCTTGGAAACGAGCCGGCCCAGAGTGGCCCAGGGCTTCCCTTGCACCCAGAGCTTCCCTGCCCAAAAAACCAGGAAACTCAGAAGCCTCAAAACATTATTGGCTTGGAAATTTCAACCTCCTAACTCAACTTCTTGCCCCAAGGGAAGCCACAGTGCTTCTCCACAAGCTGAGGCCAGAGCACCTCGGGCCACCTAAGCAGGGCTTTGCCCCAGGGGGGCTCTGATGCTTCTCTTTGAGTCTTCATGAGAGGCGGGGGCTTTTCTCCCCAAAGCAGCAGGCCCAGGCTGCCGGAGGCCCGCCTAAGTGTCACCCATCCCCAGAACCAAGGAGGGCCTGGCCCAAGGCAACACCCCCTGATTCTCAAATCTGCTGGTGCCATCAGCTGCACAGGGTCACTATGGGTCCACTCAGAACATCAGCCCCAAAGTGGCGGGCAGGAAGAGGGCAGTGAGAGGGCTGACACACCTGCCAAATAGTAACAGTCGCAGCCCTTGCACAACAGCCAGGACCTTTCAGGCATTAAACATAGTTTAGGATGTCAACTGGGAATGAGAAAAAAGGGGGAAAAGTAGGAAAAGAAAAAGGTAAGGAGAGATGGAGAGAGGGAAGGGGTGAGGAGAGGAGAAAGCTGGGGCAGGGGAAAGTGACAGAACGAGGAAGGTGCTCCCATCACGAAGTTCCATCCCTCCCCCACCCCAATCTGTCTTCGCGAACCCCCATGGTGGTTGTTGCCAGGAGGCCTGTTCTAGCTCCACCTGCAGTGGAGATACGCAGAGGAACGTCAACTCAACTCCCCCCACACCCGCATCCACCACCAGAGGAGGAACAGGCTTCCTGGCTTCACCACCTGCTACAGGGGCCCCCAAACAGCCTCCTCTGCTCCCCGAGAGGATCCTTCCTCTTCTACCACCCAAGGAGGGCCAACGGCCCTCCTATCCTGCTCAACGGCCATTAGATGTCTCTGTTCTTGGAGCAGCAGCCACAGGAGTCCGGTCCCCTAGCCGGGCAGGACCCATACCCTGTTCCAGGGGCAGATGGCTGCAGAATGCCCAGACGCCCAGCCCAATCCAGCACTGCTCAGGGAGGAGGGGCGTTATAGACTATATGGCCCAAAGAAAAGGGGCAGGGTATGGGGGAGGGGGAAGGTAAGGGGCAGGGGCACCTCCCGAAATCAGTTCAACTCAAAAATCTGGTCTTCCCTTAGAATTGATACAGCAGCAGCTGTATCTCTTTCATTTGAGTAATTATCATATAATTAAGTGCATGAATTACAAGAGAGCCAAGGCATTAAATTAAAATATTTAATGCTTGTAAATCTGAAAATGATTACTGTGCTGAGGCGCAGCCAGTGAGAAGCGAGGCTAATGGCTCGGCGGCCAGCGCCGGGAGTGGTGCAGCGCCAAGCTTCGCCTCGGAAGGCCGAGGAGGTGAGGGGATCCTTGGGCTGAGGGAGCAGCCACCTTGAGAGGGGCAGCCAGTCCACAAAACTCACAGCGACTCCCCTAGCGGGGAGAGGTGCTAGTCCTAGCACGAGGCTGCCAGCTGCAATGGTGGCACAGATGAGGGGTGGACAGTCACCTCACCGCAACTCACAGGGTGTTCAGAAGGCTCCAAGGATAGAAAGGGATAAGACTAAAGTTGATGGCATCACTCATGTATGAAGTTCTACCCTTTGCAAAGTATTCCTGTTCCTGTGTGGACGAATGAGGAAACTGAGGCACAGAAATGAAAGGAGACTTGCCTAAGATCACAAAGCAAGTTGCAAGCAGGGCTGAGGCTGTGGCCAGGCCCCGGACAGCCTGAACCTCCTTCCCCGTGAAGCTGTGAGGAGCTAGCTCACCTGGCTGTAGCTGGCTTTGAAGTGACCCAAGACGGCATTACCTGATTCTTTCATTTCCGGAACCAGCCTGTCTGCCTCCTGGGACAAAAAGGAGGAACAAAGATGCCCGAGCCATCCCCCATGACGCCGACAAATAGTTCCCAGCACGAACACAGGAATGAGCTTCCGGTTTTCGTCCAGAAAACACCACACGCTGCCCAGAGCCACCAGACCCCCAGGGGAGTTCAAAAGAAAAGTTCTCCCCGCCAGAGGCAGCCCCCCCGCCCAGCCGCCTGTTCACCTAGCCAGCCGGCGCCCAGCCGCACGCGGCCTGCACGCAAGCCCCGAGCCCGCCTGGAGCGCAAGAGCCCGGCCAGCCGGGAGGACGCAGGCCATAGGTGCGCCCGGCGTGGGAGGGCAGGCCCGCACTCCCGGCCCGAAGACGCTCCTCCCTCGGGCCCAGTCCTCGGCACAGGTCCACCTCCTGCCACCCTCGACACGTCAGCCCCAGCTCCCTCCGCTCCCGTCCCACGGAGGGTGGCCTCTGCTCCTCAAGTGGACTTCGGGACAGCGACCAGGCGGCTTTTGGGGACCCTCAGGAGAGAGTGGTCGGATCCCACCCCCGAAAGCCGCAGGTAACCACGTGACGTAGGCCTGACCAACCAGTGTATTCCATGCCTCAGGAATACACTGTGATTGGTTCAGGGATGAACATGTGATCACGCCTAGCCAATCAGAGCCAACTGTAAGAATTTTCTGGTGTCGTGGGGTTGAAAAGCCTGTGCTGCCGCGGTTGCCGGCTGGTGGGCTGGTCCTGCCCTCGGCGGGCCGTGGCTGGAGGGAGGCTAACAGGGAAAGCAGGGCCGAGAGCCACACAGAGAAGCCAGGTCCTGACAACCAGTCTGAGGACCAGTGAGCCCGTCTGGGGCAGAGTTCCGGCTCTTGCAGCTCGGGAGAGCCTGACCACTGCGTTCCTTCCACCTGCCGCTCCTCGGGGAGTCGCTCCTCGGGGAGCCGCGTGTCCCGCAGGGTCCCTCTGTCCTTCTCCTCCCTCTCTCCCCCGCTCTCCTGCGCCACAGCGCTTAGCGCAGCGGGTCTGGACAGATGCACGCGCGAATGACCAATGCTCCCTGCTCAGGCAGGTCCTCCCCATCTGCCTCCCCCGTCCATCCCGGGCAGCCTCTCCTGAGCGCGGACACTCAAGTCCACTCGGCTCCGCGGGCGAGCTGGTGTTGGTGTCACGCCGCTTGAGCAACCACGGGCCTCTGGTCCCAAACACACAGAGAGCTCCTTGAAGGCGGGACCTCATCACATCTTCCCGGGTCCCCACAGCTGGTTACAGGGCCTTTCAACCTCCACACCTTTACCCTTCCTGTCCCCACAGTCTGAAATGACCCGTCTCTCCCTCGGAAGCCAGATTAGACCCCACCAGCCCCTTCAAGAAGTTTTCCCAGAATACATCCTCTAAGGAACAACTCCAGCACCTACTGAACACGCTAGCTGGTGACTCATCCTGTCATCTCCAGGAGCTGCCCACCGCTGTCCACTCTGCTCCCACCGCCTTCCCTCTGGCCCCATCTCTTCTTGCCTGGATGATAAAAGCCTTCTAACCAGTTTCCCATCTCCCAGGATGGATTAGCTTGACCTATCACCCCACCCAACCCGGAATGCACTTTTTATGGACTCCGTGGAGAAGGGCATTGCTACCGGTCAGACTGCTCAGCCAATCTCAACACACAGACCCTCTAAGGCCTGTGGACAGTACAGTGAGAGACAGATGTCAAAGTGGTCTGCACAGCACAGATGTTCAGTAAGGGTAAGGGTGGAGGGTGTGTTTTCCCATGTGGTGGCAAAGTGGAAAGAGAGGAGCTTGGAGTCTCTCTCACAGGCTTAGGTACAAATCCCAGCCCTGCAACTTCCTAGCTGCCCATATGGCCTCTGCTAGGTCACTTTAAGAGCCTCAGGGCCAGGCATGGTGGCTCACACCTGTAATCCTAGCACTCTGGGAGACTGAGGCGGGTGGATTGTTTGAGCTCAGGAGTTCGAAACCAGCCTGAGCAAGAGCGAGACCCCATCTCTACTATAAATAGAAAGAAATTAATTGGCCAACTAAAAATATATATATATACCCAAAATTAGCCAGGCATGGTGGCGCATGCCTGTAGTCCCAGATATGCAGGAGGCTGAGGCAGGAGGATCGCTTGAGCTCAGGAGTTTGAGGTTGCTGTGAGCTAGGCTGATACCACGACACTCTAACCAGGGCAACAGAGTAAGACTCTGTCTCGGAAAAAAAAAAAAAAGCCTCAGTTTCCTCTCCTGGAAGATGAAAGTAACAGCAGGCTTGTTGCAACAGCCATGGAAAATGGACGGCAAGCACCTCCTCTGGGCCTTCTGCGGACATGCGGTAGTGCTTGACAAATGGCAACTGTCAACGTGGGGCCAGCGTGTGCCCCCACCCCAAGTCGTGAGGTGGCTGGAGAAAACAACTGGCAGCTTAAATGAGCCATTTCGTAGATAAATGAATAACAAAACTTGACACATACTAGGAGCCAACTATGTGTCAGGCGCTGTTTAAGTGCTTTCCATTTATTAAACTCATTTAACCCTCATGATAGCCTCAAGAGGTCAGCAATAATTAGTAACATCCCCATTCTACAGAGGAGGAAATTGATGCAGCGAGGAGTTAAGCAACTTGCCCAGGGAATCCAGAGCTGCTGCGATAAACCAGCATCTGACGGCTATCTGATGCCAGCGTCTGTGCCCACCCCTCGGCCCACGGGCCTGCCTGCTTGGGCCACGGGTTATGGGTGATGGAAACAAAACAGGAGGCTTCTCATCCCTGATAGGAACTTGTGAATACGACAGGAAGGAGAACACTCTGAGATGCATGTCAGGCCCACGTTGGTAGAAAAAGGTCTTCTAATCCGGCCCTGACTGATGGAATATAAATTACCCAACCTCAATGTACCTGCGTGCCATAGTGGCCCCTTAGTGAAGGCCCACTGTTGCCTGGAACTGTACCAGGCTCTTTTGTTCATGATCTTTCATCCTCACCGCAACCCTGTGTGATGGGTGTTATCCCCAATTTACAGAGAAGACTGAGGCTCAGAGAGGTTAAGTGACTTAACCATGGTCACGGAGCACCAGAGAGTTAAAAATCAAAGCCCATAATGGTGCTAGTAAATCAGGCTATCTTCATTTGTATATTCAGTGGGGGTTATTTATTTAATTTTTATTCTTCCGCTCTCTTCTTTTTGAGCTCATAGGGAGTCAAGAGAGGTGACTGTTAATGAAGAATAGTTTGCTTCAGTTTGCTCTAAAACAGTATGCTTAATTACCACAAACTCTTCCCCAACCAAATCACTTAATTGAATTCAGATAGCATGTTTGATGTTATATCTAATATTTTGCAAGTTGGCCTTCTTTGGGGAGTGTATTGATTGAGGAGGAAAACAGATATTCTGGAAGATGTTTCCAGATCAGGGCTGGACCAGACGGCTCCAGAGTTGAAAGGATTATACAAGTGCAAAGACAGTTGTGATACCAGGGGCCACCCAGACCCCATCCCCTCCCACCCCAGCACTACTGTGTCAGCAGCGGTCTCTAGACCCCCACGGCCACTCTCACACAGCACCTGCATACACGCCAGGGGACAGGCAGACAGGAGGGACAGAGGCCTGGCCATGCAGAGCCCCTGAGCTCATGGGGCAAGGGAAGGAGGGCTTGATGGACAGAAGGACAGTCTCTTTGGTCTGGAGGGGGCCTAACTGGAAACACCGTGGGCAAGAGCTCCCCAACAACGTGCTGAGCCTTCTCTATTTGCTTGTTTGTTCATTCAACAAGCATTTGCTAGGCATCTACTGTGTGCGGTTCATTTAGTCATTCAATAAACATTTAATAAGTGTCTACCCTGCATCTTTTTAAATCCATTTATTCATTCACTCAAAAGTACATGTATCAAAGGCTATTATGTACAAATCCCCAGGTCTTTGTGGTTCCGTCCTCTGTCCCCACCCGAGAGCTCGCAGTCCAGCAGGGGAGGAAGATATTCACCACCTGGACACACATGGGGTTGCCTAACTGCAACCGGAAGAATGGACACACATGAAGGTAAAGAAAGGCGCACCTGCTATGAAGGCATCGGGCACACATCTCAGCAGTCGGAGCTGTGAAGAGCGACTGTGGAGCATGGGCAGAGAACCCAGCAGAGGGACCAGCACATGTGAAGGCCTGTGGCTGGATGCAGAGTGAGGGGCAAGGTCGGATGGCAGCAGAGTCTGACACCACACAGGGCCTTGTGGGCCACACTGAGGGTCTCTGACTGAGGGCGGGGGAGACACATTCAGAAGGCCACTCCAAGACCCCACAGATAACAGAGTAGCAGTGGGGGCGCAGGATGGATTCCAAGGCAGAGAGGATGCATGTTCTGAGCCAGGCACTGGGGTTCAGACACTAGTAACACAGCCCCTACTCATTGGAACCCATAAGTCAACCCAAAAACAAGTGAGTGGGCAGCTGCCATCCTAGGTGACCAACACCTCATGGGGCAAATTGGTTTTCAAATTTTTAATACTATTCTTGCTTTATCTGCTCCATACTTATTTTGAAATTACAAATAACAGTAAAGGAATGGGTGAATTTTTTCATTCATTCTTTCATTTAAAAAAATTTGTTGAGTACCTACTATGTGCCAGGTGCCATGTGTACCAAGGGGGAAGCAACAATGTTTAACGTCTTATGTAATCCAACAGTCAGACTCCAGTAGGCCTTTCTAGGTCTTTCCCTCATAACATGTATCTTAGACATGTAAAACTAAGCCCTGGACTCGCCCACTTCAGAAGGAGGCCCTACTGTGTGCCGGCACTGTGTGTGACCTATGGTGGGGATGACATCGACCTGCTGCTGCCTACAATCAACCTTGAACACAGGCCTTGCAAACAAGAGCCAGACACGGGGTGTGGGACAAGAGACACACAGGGTTCTGCAGAGGGGATGTCCCATCCTAGTGGGAGACAAGAGCAGATCTCACGAGTAAAGGGATGGGGAAGGCTTGGAGCAGGACTGTGGAGTGCAGGACGGACTTTAACAGGGGAGAGTGAGGAGAACGGGGTAAAGGAGTTTCAGACAGGAGACAGCATGTGAAAAAGCATGAAACCAAAGAATGTGCAAACAAAGTCTGGAAACAGCAAATCACCTACTCGGGCTGGAGCACAGGTTGGGATCAGAGGGTCATAATGCTGATATACACACACTGGGACAAGAACAGAGCACGAGATGACTACACAAAACCATGGGCTTTGTTCTGGGAGCCACCAGAGTCTTCTGAGAGGTGTTGCATTTCCAGGGTACGAATGACAGCACATGAGTTGGCCACCGCCACAGCTCAGAGGGACCGTGCTGAAGGTGTGGACGGAGGTGGACGGCGCAAAGGAAGGGAGCATGAGGCCTCTTCACAATGCACGCCGGGGACAGATGTGGCAGTGGAGAAATGGAAGAGGAGGGCTTGGCAGAGCTGTGGGCAGACTTGACAGCTGTCACCGTCTTGGCTCAACAGTCTTACAGAGCATGGCAGCTCCTATGACCAGGGTTAGCTCAAATTCCTAGTGTGAGAATTCCTAGGTGAGAATGACACATAATGCCTAGTGCACCCAGGGTCTTCCTAAGGGAGGGCGGGCGAGAGGCAAGGTGGGCTGACTAGCAGACGGGTAGGGATGAGTGGGTGGGAGTGAACAGATGGGCAACTGCGTGGCCACGTAGATAGTAATATTTGGATGGACAGACGAGCCTATGGACAATGACTGACAGAAGGTGGAAGTGAGCAGCAGGTGAATGGGGGCATGATGGACAGATGGATGCATGGGCAGACGGGTGGATAGGTAGCTGGACAGATGCGTGTGTTGGCAAAAACTCCAGCAGAACATGGCTAGAGAATGTGGAGACTCCAGGCCAGTAAATATTCTGGGTGTAAACCCTGGGCCTCTCCTTGGTTTACGTAATCACTTCCAGCTGAAACCTCTTCTCTCCCAGCCCCACTGCCTTAGTCCATTTGCTGTCACTATAATAGAATATCACAGACTGGGTAATTTAAAAAGAAAAGATGCTTCTTTAGCTCATGTTTCCAGAGGCTGGGAAGTCCAAGAGCAAGCACTGACAGCTGATTAAGGCCTTCCGGCTGCATCGTAATGTGGCAGAGGTCACCACTTGCTTGGCAAGACAACAAGCACGTGCATGTCTGCTCAGGTCTTTCTCCCTCCTCTTATAAAGCCATTGTTGCCATCACAGGGCCACACCCTAATGACCTTATCTAATCCCAATTACCTTCCAAAGGCCAGTACCTCCAATCAACTTATGAATTTGGAGATTAAGTTTCCAACACATGAAATTTGGGGGACACATTCTAACCATTAGCACCTATCCTCTGCATTTAGAAAGATAATCTAACAGAATGATCTAGATCTAATCAAGAGAGCTAGTTGATTACTAACTCTAGTTTGGCTCTGATTTGCTGTGTGACCTTAGACAAGCCTCTTTCCCTCACTGGGCTTCTCTTTGCCATGCAGTACCATGAAGGAATAGGACTAGATCCAGGATGCCTACTGGTGCCAGGCCTTCTGGTCATCCCCATGCCCTCACCCACACCTTACTAACCAAGCCGTACCAAGCAAGCCGTGCCCCACTTGCCAGGAGACCTTTAAGGAAAGTGGTTCCCAAACTTTAGTGCAAATGAGAATCTGTTGGGGAATCTATTAGAACAGATTGTCCTCACTCCCAGAGTCTCTGATTCCACAGGTCTGCAGTGGGGCCGAGAATCTGCATTTCTACCAAGTTCCCTGGGGCCCCCAGTGGGAGAACCACGGCTCTAGGGACCCATCAGCTGCTGCTCTGAGAGCTTGTGCAGAAAGCTGGCAGGTGTCCCCATGTGGGGCAGCTCACCCTGCCCCCGAGAGGAGGCTGCTGGAGCCACTGTCCCCTTGCTCACCCAACATCCTCAGACCTGGGGACGGGTGCTCTCCGCCCACCGCG